AGATTCCTTGATTACAAAATGGTGAATTTTAAGACTATCGTAAGTCAAGTTCAATATCTTCAAGTGATCCTACATAAGATTCATGCCGAAGGGATGGTGCTTAGTAAATCTTTTCAAGAGGCTGAGATTATTGAAAAATTACTACCAAATTAGAAGGATTTCAAAAATTATTTGAAGCACAAATGCAAATNATCCTACATAAGATTCATGCCGAAGGGATGGTGCTTAGTAAATCTTTTCAAGAGGCTAAGATTATTGAAAAATTACTACCAAATTAGAAGGATTTCAAAAATTATTTGAAGCACAAATGCAAATAAATGAAACTTGAAGACTTGATCTTGAGATTGAGGACTGAGGAGGATAATAGAGTCTCCGAAAAAAAATTTGGCAATAATTCCTTAGAGTCAAAGGCACATATGATTGAAAAGGGACATAAAACTAACAAGAAAATAAAGCATGTTGGCCAACAATGGGTTAAGGGTGGTGATTCCAAAAGGTTCAAATACAACTACTTTGTGTGCAATAAACAGGGACATTGTGCAAAGGATTGTCGAAGCCGTAAAGCACAAGTGAACCACAAGAGAAAGACTGTTCAAGCCAATATAACCGAGGTAGAAAAATTTCTTGAAAATGTTTATAATATTAGTTTTTCTGCTGTAGTATCCAAAATAAATTTGGTGAAAAATACCAAGGAATGGTGGGTGGATACTGGGGCCACGAGACACATATGTTCGGATAAGAAAATGTTCTCTTCATATGAAGCAATTAATGATGGAGAACAACTCTACATGAAAAATTCCTCTACTTCCAAAATTGAAGGCAAAAGAAAAGTTATATTGAAGATGACTTCCAGAAAAGAACTTACTCTCAATGATGTGTTATATGTTCCAGAAATTCGAAAGAATCTTGTGTCTAGATCGTTGTTGAGTAAAAAGGGTTTTATGTTGGTTTTTGAGTTCGAGAAATTTGTACTCACCAAGAGTGGGATTTATGTAGGCAAAAGATATATAAGCGATGAGCTCTTTAAGATGAATGCAATGACAATTGTATATGATTTTAATAAAAAGAACACATCTTCTGCTTATATGTTTGAGTCTTCTAATATATGGTATGGTAGATTAGGACATATTAATTTTGATACTTTGTGTAAATTAATGAATTTAGAATTGTTGCCTAAATTTAATATTTATGCAAATCATAAATATGAGGCATGTGTTGAATCAAAATTAACTAGAGCATCATTTCATAATATTGAAAGAAGTACTGAACCTTTAGAGTTAATTCATAGTGATACATGTGATTTAAAATATGTTCAAACTAGAGGTGGAAAGAAATATTTTGTTACATTTATTGATGATTGCACAAGATATTACTATGTATATTTGCTAAGAAATAAAAATGAAGTATTAGAAAAATTTGTGCACTATAAGAATGAAGTTGAGAATCAACTTGACAAAAAGATTAAGAGAATGTAGTGAATATAACACACCTTTCGATCGGTTCTATCAAAAACATGATATTATTCACCAAACTTCTGTGCCTTATACACCTTAGCAAAATGGAGTTGCTGAACGTAAAAATAGAACATTGAAAGAAATGATGAATGTCATGTTGATAAGTTCGGGATTATCTCAGAACTTGTGAGGGGAAGCTTTTTTTTTCAGTAAATTATATTTTAAATAAACTACCCCACAAGAAGTTAGATAAAATCTCTTACGAATTATGGAAAGGAAGGAGTCTTTCTTACAAATATTTAAAAGTGTGGGGTGTTTGGCTAAAGTGATGGTTCCTAGTCCCAAAAGGATTAAAATAAGATCTAAAACTATTGATTGTATATTTATTGATTATGCAATAAATAGTAATGCATATCGTTTTCTAGTGCATAAATCTGATATTCCTGATATACATGTCGATACAATCATTGAGTCAAGAAATGAATTATTTTTTGAAAATGTATTTCCTAGTAAAAATGCATGTGATAGGAGTTCTCTTAAAAGAGCCCATGATAGTGTGACTAGTAATATAGACAATGAGTCTATAATTGAAAAAAGTGAAGAGGCACCTAAACGCAGTAAGAGGGCAAGGAATTTCTAGTCCTACAGTACAGATTTCTAACATATTTGTTAGAAAAATGAGCTTCAAAGCTTTAATGAATCTATGTCCACTCCTGAAGCACCTATGTGGAAAAAAACTGTAAACAGTGAAATTGAATCCATCATGCAAAATTACACCTGAGAGTTGGTAGATCTTCCACCAGAGAGTAAATCATTGAGGTCNAACAGTGAAATTGAATCCATCATGCAAAATCACACCTGAGAGTTGGTAGATCTTCCACTAGAGAGTAAATCATTGAGGTCTAAATGGATTTTCAAGAAGAAAATGAAAAGTGATAGATCAATTGATAAGTACAAGGTTAGACTTGTAGCTAAAAGTTACAAATAAAAGAAAGGTCTTGATTACTTTGATATATATATTCTCCCGTATGAGAATAACATCTATTCGTATGTTTATAGCTATTGCAGCATTGCATAATCTTGAGATATACCAAATAGATGTGAAAATAGCTTTCCTAAGTGGTGACTTAAATGAGAAAATTTATATGGACAAACCCGAAGGGTTTGTTTCTCTTGGATAAGAGAAGAAAGTGTGTAGACTTGTTAAATCACTTTATGGTTTAAAGCAAGAACCAAAACAATGGCATGAGAAATTTAACAAAGTAATGATGTCAAATGGTTTCACAATTAATGAATGTGATAAATGTGTCTATGCTAAAGACACAAATAATGGATATGTCATTATTTGTCTATATGTGGATGATATGCTTATTTTAGGTAATAATAATAATATTATTACAACTATCAAGAAAATATTATCCAGTAAGTTTGACATGAAAGATTTTGGTGTTGCAAATATTATATTAGGAATTAAAATTTCTAGAATATCTGATGGACTTATATTATTTCAATTACATTATATTGAAAAAATACTTGAGAAGTTCGACAAAGATGAAAGAACCATTGCTAGAACACCAGTTAATATAAATCTTCATTTGTCTAAAAATACTAGCCAAAACATATTACAATTGAAATACTCCCGTATTATTGGAAGTCTAATATATGTTATGAATTGCTCTAGACCGGATATAGCGTACTCAGTTAGTAAATTGAGTAGATATACAAGTAATCCGGGAGTAGACTATTGGAAGACAATTATCAAAGTTCTTAGATACTTAAGATATACCCTGAAGTTTGGATTGCGCTATACAAAATATTCAGCTGTACTTAAAGAGTATAGTGCTGTAAACTGAATATCTGATATGAAGGACACAAAATCTACAAGTGGTTACGTTTTTACATTGGTAGTGCAGCTGTATCTTGAAAATCCTCTAAGCAAACATGTATTGCCAGATCAACAATATAATATGAATTTATTGCTTTAGATAAAGCAGGAGAGGAAGCTGAGTGACTTCGCCAATTTCTAGAGGATATTCCAATATGACCTAAACTTGTGNGTTTTTACATTGGTAGTGCAGCTGTATCTTGAAAATCCTCTAAGCAAACATGTATTGTCAGATCAACAATATAATATGAATTTATTGCTTTAGATAAAGCAGGAGAGGAAGCTGAGTAACTTCGCCAATTTCTAGAGGATATTCCAATATGACCTAAACTTGTGCCAGCAATTTGTATACATTGCGATAACCAATCTGCAATTGGTAGGATACAGAGTGACATGTATAATGGTAAGTTTAGACATATACGTCGTAAACATAATATCGTTAGACAATTGCTCTCAAATGAGATTATTTCTATTGATTATATAAAGTCAAAGGATAATTTAGCACACTACAAAAAAATCGTTTTTTGCGACGATTTTTTTTGTCACTAAATTAAAAAAAAATTGTCACCAAAATTTTTTTGTGACATTTTTTTTCGTCGCGTGTTTGTCGCAGAAAATATCTTGCGATATAATTTTATTTTTGTCGAAAAAAAAACATTTTTGCGACGTTTTATTTTCGTCGCCAATAATAAAAAAAGTCGCTAAAATCTATTCTAGCAACGTAAAAAATAAAAAAAAATAATTTAATTAATTTTTCGCGACGTAAAAAATTCGTCGCAAATATATTTTTCATAAATAAAATATTTTAAAAAATAATTAAATTCATGTTTCGCGACATACAAAAATCGTCTCGAATAAATTTTTATATAAATAAAAAATTTTAAAAATAATAATTAAATTAAACTTTCGCGACGTAATAAAATAGTCGCAAATATATTTTTCATAAATAAAAATTTTAAAAATAAAAATTTAATTAATTTTAGCGACGTAAAAAAAGCGTCACCAATAATTTTTTTATAAATAAAAAATTTTAAAAATAATAATTAAATTAATTTTTTGCGACATAAAATAATTGTCGCAAATATATTTTTCATAAATATAAAATTTAAAAAATAATAGGATAATTGTATATTTTGCGACGTAAAAAAATCGTTGCAAATATATTTTACATAAATAAAAAATTTAAAAATAATAACTTATTTTATTTTTAACGACATAAAAAAATCGTCACAAATAATTTTTTAAATAAATAAAAAATATAAAAAATAATTAATTAAATAGGATTCTGGATTCGTACACAGCTGCATTTGAGCTATGAAATAGGAGCTGGAAAAAAAATTGATTTCATTCGTCTTGAGTTATAATCACACCATTCAAATATTTAATAAGACTAAGAAAAGGAAAATTTTATTGATAAAAGAAACAATTACAAGAATCAAAGAACAAATTAGTTTGAAAGAATACAAGAAATGACTTCAATCCTTCAAGATGATTAAAACCATTTTTAACTACTTTACTGCGTCTTCTGATCTTCACATTCAACTCCTAAAATCTGTCCAGCTACTAAGCATGCTGTTCAGTACCTTTGAACCAGACAGATTCTGGCAGACCCTTCGTAGCCTTCAAAATGCACAGGTAGCAAACATCTCCAATGCATAACATCACGCTGGCATCATCCCAGCAGCTATCCTCAAACCCTGCTTAGCAGTATAGCATAAACGCAGCAGATACAGCCCCATTAAACTGCCTGCTCCATTCAATATACCTCCTGAACTGATTCTGCTAAAACACATCCAGCTGCAAGCAGTACCCCACAAATAGAAACCTAAGGTCATTACAAAGGCAAGGTACCCTTAATAACAACCTTTCTAAGGCACTAGGCCTGAACGCCTTAGCCTGCATTCTCAAAACCTCACAAACTCTTACAAAAATAGCGCCAGTAGATAAATAGCCCTCATCATAAACTCTCCTACATGATCAATAGGTGCATACATACAAATTGTTTGTGTTTTGCAAATAGTAGCTACAAGGAATAATAAAAAGCAAGCTTGTCTGTAAGCTGATTGAATTGATAGGACTAATGTATTCAGTAAGAATACTGTAGGGGGAGGGGTTTAAATATAAGACAATGTTGAAGTGGCATGATTTAGAAAATAATGACTCAAAACCAGAATAGGTATGCTGAATATTTAGCATCAAATAGTGCATACCTCACCATGATGCCTTTGGAACAATTTCCTCCATTTTACTGTGACAAATGCTGTATAGCTCAACAAGTTCTTTCTGCACAGATATAACATATTAATTCATGGCTTCATGATTTGAATCCAAAATTTGGTATGGCCATAGACAGCTGAACTAAACTGTGTACATATATTTCTGGTGAATACTAGGACTCCTTAAAAATTATTGTAACACATGCAACAACATTGTTCATTCATTTAACATATAAATCATTTGTGTCAAGGATTCATCAGATAGAGGTTTAATTTTCATTGGCCAGAAAAGTGACCTAGTTTCTTCACAGGGGAGTCAAGGCCCCTAACTAATCGATGTACAGGTTAGGAAAGAGTAATTCCACTGAACATTTCTCTAAGCACAAGACTTTTGAGCTATATGGACACCCAAAAGACTTGCAATAATGTAGAAGACGTGCAATCTGGAACTCTAACTTTCATTCTTGCTATGCACTCCATTTGCTTACTTTATGGTGCAATTATATTCTAATCAATTAAGAATCAAGTACACTTCAAACAAAAGTTTGATATGCATACTGTGTCATTGCCAAGAAAAGATTATAACTATTTGTGTGCACACTTGGTGGAAAAGGCATTTACATAGCCATGAGTTGCCAATGTGTATTCATTCCAGACCTAGATTTAAGGGAAGCCTTCCTCATGCAGTTAAATAACTAAAAAATGCACAAAAGTAGCACCTCATCTGAACTGGCTGATTGATCTAACAAAGATGAAGTGCTTTCCATAGCAACTTTTTGAACATCCATTGCATAAACACGACCTCTCTTTGACTGATCAGCAACCATTTTGAGCATTGCCAAGGTGTCATACCCATTTCCACAAGTGGCATCAACAACCGCATCCCCTTTCCGGACAACATGTTTCCACACCCTGTTAAAGGAAATAAACACACAAAAAAAAGGCATCATTTTAAGTGATACTTTGAACTACTTTTATACAAAATATGACTACAGGCCTCTTTAAAGCTTAGTAAAATTGATTAATTGAGCAATTATAGCAACAAAAAAATTTCCTAAAGGATACAGAGGCTCACAAGTCACAACCTTGGGGCATAAATTGTATTGCCAAAAGCCTCAAAGAAGGCTTCAAAAATTTGATAGTATAGTTGTACGAAGAGCAATCAAAATCCAAGGAACATAGCATATGTAAATTCATTTTTCAAATCCGCATGTTGGGCCTAGCAGTAATGCAAGCTGTGCTGCATGCACTACCAATTCTCATGACAACGAGTGAAGTTGATTAATATGGGAGTTTTACTGTTCAACTAACTGCACCAATAGTGAGCTAACACAAAGCTATTGAAATCATTGGAATAAAACAAGAAGACTGAAAGAGCATGAAAGCAGGGTGAAAAAGATGATTCATATTTTTTCACAATAACTAATACATGCATGCCCATGTTCCATATAACCAAGATTTGAACCCAACACGTACTACTTTGCCAGCAGCGGGAGATACCACTCAAGTTAACAGCAGATGATCCCTCGATAACTTTTTCAACTTTGCCAAAATAGAGTTTTAAAAAGATGGTAGACATATTAATGCAGACAGGAAGAGCGCAAAAAAACAAACAAACAAACAAACGAGTGTGGCAAATTTCTAAACAAAACATCACCAAAATTGATGAAACAAGACAATGTGTTCCAATCTTTCCTTGTGTATAATTTCGTAGTTCATGCAAGCTCATAGATGAAAACTAAGAAACTTAAAACTCTACCACCAAAATTCATGAAACAAGATAGTGTGTCCCAATCTTTCCTTGTGTATAATTTCTTAGTTCATACAAGCTCATAGATACGAACTAACAAACTTAAAACTCTACTAGATTTAGCATGTGCTTTTGGTAATATCGGTGTTTGTTAGGATATAGAATATGATAGTATAAATGCATGAATGAAAGGATTGGCTGGATTGGAAATACCTTTTGCATCAGTGCAACCACCAACTCAGGGCTCTCTGGTATTCCATGTTCTAGAAAGGCCTGAAGCATTGTGTATATAGTTAGTGGCTCTTTCTTTTATACCAAACACACGGCAAACATGGCATAGGATTTAAAGTGAATGCACCAACCAATCCAACCACTCCCGATATATGGAGGACTATCCAAAATATATCTTAAATAGTTTATTGAAATATGTTCACAGAATGATTTCACATACATTCATCATGCACGAATTGTAAGTGTTGATCCAAAAAGCAAGCTTCTCTTGATGGTTAAGGCCTTGTAAGTCAACCAATGCAAGTTTCCCAAGTGGGAGTCTGAGAAAATAAGAGACACTATATTTAAGCCCAAGCAGATATGAGACATATGAATTCAAATTTTGAGCAAAGACCTGTAATTTCTGATACCCCTAGCAGTGCAACACTGTGCACCAATTATCCTTTCTAGACAACACATTAAGATACAAAGAAGATTGTTGTGATGTCTGAATTTTCAAAAGCAACTATACAAAATATAGGACATTTTTCATGGTCAACAAACTTTTCATGCTCAGTTTCAAGAGAAAATTCTTGACCAGGTGAGCCATCAATAGTGTCCAGATCTGCAGGCTGGACACTATGCCATAACTGTGTCATAGTGGGTGTTTCCTTGCAAGCACGTGACATAACTTTATTTGGACAGTTAAACACATGAATTAAATTCCTAGAATTTATGGGTAACACTGNGAATGATTTCACATACATTCATCATGCACGAATTGTAAGTGTTGATCCAAAAAGCAAGCTTCTCTTGATGGTTAAGGCCTTGTAAGTCAACCAATGCAAGTTTCCCAAGTGGGAGTCTGAGAAAATAAGAGACACTATATTTAAGCCCAAGCAGATATGAGACATATGAATTCAAATTTTGAGCAAAGACCTGTAATTTCTGATACCCCTAGCAGTGCAACACTGTGCACCAATTATCCTTTCTAGACAACACATATTAAGATACAAAGAAGACTGCTGTGATGTCTGAATTTTCAGAAGCAACTATACAAAATATAGGACATTTTCATGGTCAACAAACTGTTCATGCTCAGTTTCAAGAGAAAATTCTTGACCAGGTGAGCCATCAATAGTGTCCAGATCTGCAGGCTGGACACTATGCCATAACTGTGTCATAGTGGGTGTTTCCTTGCAAGCACGTGACATAACTTTATTTGGACAGTTAAACACATGAATTAAATTCCTAGAATTTATGGGTAACACTGAACATGCACATAAATTTGTCGATGAAAAGAAAATTCAGCAAACTTAACTTAGTGATCCATTGATAGCCAAGCAAGGACAAGACTCATTTTAAATAGTTTGATCATTTGCAAACAAAGACCAATTTCTTCTGAAGTAGGAAATAATAATGTCCCTTTGTGCAAAATGAAGCCACTATACTCCTTATCAGGATCCTAGCATCAAATAACTTCAAACAGGTGATCATGTAAACATTCGTATGAGCCATGAGCACATATCAACATAATAAATGGTACCTTGAATGCAGGTGCACAAGATATATTTGACATGGTTATTAGAATTGAGCCCTTTGCACCCATTTTAACAATCACCCATTTTGTGCGGAACCCTTTCCTAAGCAACTCCTGGGCTGCCAGTATTGGATTTCCTATGCCAGTCAATGATTTAGCCTGACAAGCCATCAACATAAGCTATATTACTAGGATGAAAAGTGAAAATTATACTAGACTGGATGATGCTAGGGTCCTATCCAAGTCTAATAAGAGGGTACAGATTGCATAAATCTATCAATTAGTTCAGGCCAACTTCAGAATTTACACTTCCTACAAAAAATGAGATGGAAACAAAATTTGTAATGCCAACAAGTTGTGGCATTAATTGATTGAATATTGTGATGGTTTATTCATCTTTGCAGCCGACACAATCTTCAAAAGATGCTGTGATTTGAGCAGAATAAATGGAGGATTGGTGCATAGATTGTTCAATTTGTTCAAACATACCAGTCAAATTGGAGGGAAATCAGTAAAAGGCTCGTAACAATATGATACAAAATAAACAACTATCAAGAGTTAACATGCGCACAAAATGAGGTAACCAAACAAAATATTTATATAGAACGGTGGCAACAAGCCAATTACAGCAAGGAAATATCCGTGTTGGTAAAAGCTGAGGTAGAAGTGATGTTTAACCTTGTCATAACTATGTAAAGCTATCAAGGATGCATGTTGAGGTAGTTAGGAATACATTAACGATTACTTTGATAGCAAAAATAGCCATGCACATCATCGGTTGCTAAATCAATTTTCATAATCCATGGCAAATAATTGGGATAAGGCTTAGTTGAGTATATAATCCCCTCAAAAATAAGATACAATGATAGAAGGCTATGGTGAAGGAAAGTGCTCATACAGTCTATGAAGACTTACAAGTCAAACCTCCTCAGACGTTAGCAGAAGAACATCACTCATCCTCAAGAACTTGTCAAGTGCTCTCTGTTTTTCGGGTGTTCCTATCACTCGGGTCTTTCCCTGTGGTCCAGGATAAAAAAAATGGCTGTCCCAACTTCAAAAGCATAATCCAGGTAGAAATAATCAAACAAGGGGAGAGTTCATCAAAGCCATAACCATTGCAGAACAGGAGCTTTGATTGCTTAATTGTCATCTTTACTTCAATAGACAGCTTGCTCAGCCAACTGAATGCAGGCTCTTTACAAAAATCTGCTCGACTGATAATTAAGCAGAAGGTGTGATGCACCATCCTTTGCTAACAACAATTCATTCGAACATTACTTCTATCGAAAAATTTGTTTCCCTATAAAATTTATATAAATTTAAAGAAGGAATAAACCTTTTAATTGATTACTTATACCTGCAAAAACTATGTCTGTGAAAAGAGTCCACCAAAACCCAGCATAGAAGTGTCTCATATGCAACACGTGAACTGTCAACATTGTCATTCAGGTCACTCATCCCAACCGTACCAATTCCTTCATCATGAAGAACATCTAAGAGGAAGCGGCACATACATTTCATCACCAACATGACCAATTGCAACACAATGAAGTCCCAGTCTTGCTGCTGCTATGGCCATATTGCAGTTACCACCAACTTCCCAGTATTGCTATGAGCAATAACAAATTCTGTAAGTCCAAAACTGTGGTGAATAAGGGAAGAACATAGAAAAACAAACACAGACTAATATCTACAAACATGTATGGACACGTGTGTCTGTGTGTGAGAGAACAGTGTTCTGACTACGGGATACATGAGAATAGTGTTCTAACTATAGGATACAATAATATGCATTCATACAAGATACATGAGAACAGTGTTCTGACTACTCCTTTAGAAAGTAGCATCCCAGTGTGCATGAATACATGATACATGAGAATAGTGTGTTCTAACTACTCCTTTAGAAAGTAGCATCCCAACCGTATTTAACTGCCAACACCCCCATCAGCGGGAAAGGGAATAACCAACATATATGATATATCCCATAATCTAAGTTTGCAATCGCAAGCTCATATAAATAAACCATCAAAGCATCAAATCAATGCTCAAAGAACATTTAAATGGTGAAGTAGCTAGAAAATAAGCTCATACCTTCAATCGAGAGACGGCCACCACTGTATTGTGCTTGCCTCGTCAAGTCTTTGTTGCAAATTATCTAGTAAACGTTTCATTCTCTCTGCATTGTCTGTGAATGCAACCTTACTTCTTTCTTTCCATGAATTGAGGAGCATTGATCTAAAATGATGTGCTAAAGGAACAAGAATTGTCTCGAGATCATCTATACCTACAAAGTTACATCACCATGTCTGTCAACATCAAGCAAAAACGAAATGCCTAATCACCCAGATAATCAATAAGATAATTGTAACTAAATTCAGAGCACCTTGTTCTTCAAAGTCAGGGACTAGCACCATGATCTTTTGTTATGTCAATAATCATTGTTGAATCCTACAGTGGAACCCAAAGTAAGATACATGCATTAGTTTCAATACAAATGGAGACCAATTGTTCCCATACCTTGCCATTTTTCTCATCGAGTTTCTTGATCTTTTGCTTCATGTGCTTTAAATCTTCACAGTATTTAACATCCTGTCTTTCAAACTTCTTCACTATTGAGTTTGATCTAGTGTCAACTAGCATTAGCATGTATGAAAAGGTTTCTAAGACAAGANTTGCTTCATGTGCTTTAAATCTTCACAGTATTTAACATCCTGTCTTTCAAACTTCTTTCACTATTGAGTTTGATCTAGTGTCAACTAGCATTAGCATGTATGAAAAGGTTTCTAAGACAAGACATGCATATCTTAAAACCAAAAATTTACTCTTACAAAAATTTACTGCAGCCAGCTTATTGGACAACACTACATCTAGTAGAGCACTAAACGAATACCTGAGAAACAAGAAAGTTTGCCATCTACAAAATATGTCGGAAAGATTATCCAAGCAGAGGCCAGTAAACCAACTGTACAGTCACGTGATACAAAATAACCAAAACCAAATCAACAGCTCCACCCAAAAACTTCCTCCAGACAATTCTAAAGCAACAACCAACTAAACAAATCACTTTCAAAACCAAAACTAACAACCTGCCAACTGAAATGCCCGGAAGTGGAACACATTATGGAATCATACAATATTTAAATACATAACAAAAAGATATTTCGTCAACCACTTTAATGCAGAAGTCCATAATTCATCTGTTATAAAAACGAAAATAAAATACATTAATAAATTATCAATCAAATTTTTCAAAAACACTTAAGTGTTGAACTTAAAACGATAGTAAAAAGAAACTAACTAAGACTCAGGTGGCATGTCTGCATTAGTTGAGTTGCCCTGTAGAGCACGTTGCAGTTGAAGTTGCATCTGCAAAAGTTGTTGCATCATCTATTGTTGCGCGTCTTCAAACTTTTGTTGCATGCCTTCAAACTTCTCTAGCTTCTCTTTTGTTTCATCATGTTCCTTTTGAAGAGTATCAACAATTGTTTGCAACTCTTTTATCATATCAGCTTGTTCTCGATACTCAGCAGTGCATCTGAATGACTGACTAGAGGATGATGGCTTTGGGCCATGTCCAAATCCTTTCTTATATCCAGATCAGCTACCAAGGACTGTGCATGCAATTTCATCATGTGTCAATGGCTCTACATCCTCTTCTAAGTTCTGTGTAGTCAATTCTTTCATCTGCTCCTACAATTTAATATATTTAAACCCAATTATTGAGTGTATCATAAAAATTTATTTAAAACAAAAAAACATAATTTTCTACAATTTTAAATACTTACATATCTTGACTTTGCCTCATCAGAAACCCACTCACCCTTCTTGTTCACATGAGAATCGTGAAAAAAATCAACAATGTGGGGTGGCTCATTAGTCGTAGGATCCCTCTATTACAGTTAATCAAAATATCAATATTCAAATTTATGAATTTCCTATATATTAAAATTTAGAAAGCAAATGTTAAAGTATAACACCTTTTCATATAGGGCAAACTGAAAGGACTTTGAACCCATTGAGTGGTTATATGACAGTTTGGCATGATTTTCTGCATTTTTCTTAGATTTTTCCTATATAGAAAACATATATTTAGTACATAATTGGGAATAAAAGTGGATATTAATTTGCATACCTTATAAAAGTTACCTGAAATTTTGGATCCTTGTAAAATATTTCAATTATGTACTCTCAATCCTCCTGACTCACATCACCATATGGCTTGCTCTTTGGATCAACACCAGACTCAACCAAATTCTTGTAGTGCATATGCATATAGTATCAGTGGTCCCTATACCTTGCATCAAATTTTTTGTCAATGACCTTACTAACACCAACTTTTTCACGATAGTCTCTAATGTTAAATTTTGTCTACAACAAAATATAAATGAACAAATTCATTACAACATGTTGTAACACTCTATGCAAATAAATATAATTTCCCACTACCAAACAAATATATCCACTAACCAACAAACGTGCAATGAGTGGTGCCTTCTCCTCTTCGGTTATTTGCTTCCATTTGTGGACATTTCTGATAGGGGCAAATGTCCTCGCCAGGATGCCAATCTCTATCATCATCTTCGAAGAATGTACACCCACTGGAATGCCGACTCCATCAGGAATCAAAACATCTAGTGGGCTGTAAGCTGCACGAAGACGCTCAACATTTCCCCCCTAGACAGTCCTCGACCTCGTTTCTTTGCGATAGAAACTGTTGCGCAAACATTAATAACAGATGTTAGCCAACCATATTAAGACAACTATGTTTAAAAAATAAAGTATGCATCAAACCTATACTGCTAGCCTTAGTGCCAGCAAGAGGTTGTGATGTAGGTGGATCCGATGATACAGCCCTAACATGTGTACTCGAGGATGCACCCCTAGTAGGTGCATCAGAGGATGCAACCTTACTTGCTATTGTGGTGGCTCGACGACTTGGTCTCATGTATATACAACACCTGAACTATAGAAATATATAAGTTATATCGACAATATTCAATTATGAACATTATATATAAGTCATAATTTATTAATTACCATGAAAATATCTTAATAATTTATCTACATATCTGACTCTTCATCAGAATCAAAATGGGAATGTACATCATCATCTTCTTCTGAATCGACATACTTTACTTGTGACTCATCATTGTTATCACATATGAAAATCATCAATGTTATTGTCTTCTCTGCTTCCCCAATGGACAATCCGGTCTAGAGGAATGATTTTTGGATCAAGATCAGTCCTATGAAGTTGACCTATTTCGTTATCTTCGACCACTATAGGAGCAACCTCTGTTGATTCATCCTGTTGGAATGCATCACTTGGAAGATACGATTTATTTTCACTAACTTCTATATCTTCTAACTCAGGAACATCCCATATTCCTCGATGATGTATGTGTTGCACAACTTGCCAATCCTTACCCAATTTTGTATCATTAACATAAAATACTTGTTTCACCTGATCAGGTAGGACAAATAGTNTGCACCCCTAGTAGGTGCATCAGAGGATGCAACCTTACTTGCTATTGTGGTGGCTCGACGACTTGGTCTCATGTATATACAACACCTGAACTATAGAAATATATAAGTTATATCGACAATATTCAATNAAATTTGACATATAAAATATTTTAAACAATTACAAAGTACAATAAGAATGCTCACAACTATGTATATTTAACATACACATACTCTAGATACAGATCCAGTTCGAGACTATTATGTAGGACAAACCAATGAGCCATCTCTCGTTCCTATTGAGAGACCTCAATTGCTCTTGTAATTCGCCCAAAAGGGCGAATATTTTGAGTGAACACNCTCTTCATCAGAATCAAAATGGGAATGTACATCATCATCTTCTTCTGAATCGACATACTTTACTTGTGACTCATCATTGTTATCACATATGAAAATCATCAATGTTATTGTCTTCTCTGCTTCCCCAATGGACAATCCGGTCTAGAGGAATGATTTTTGGATCAAGATCAGTCCTATGAAGTTGACCTATTTCGTTATCTTCGACCACTATAGGAGCAACCTCTGTTGATTCATCCTGTTGGAATGCATCACTTGGAAGATACGATTTATTTTCACTAACTTCTATATCTTCTAACTCAGGAACATCCCATATTCCTCGATGATGTATGTGTTGCACAACTTGCCAATCCTTACCCAATTTTGTATCATTAACATAAAATACTTGTTTCACCTGATCAGGTAGGACAAATAGTTCATTTTGATACCATCTACTTTTCACATTAATACTTGTAAAATGAGCATCAGTCTGAACTGTTTTCCCACTACCAAGGTTGAACCATTCACATTGGAACAAAAAAAATACTATGGCCAAATATGTAACTCTTCTCCCACACCTTATTTGAGTATCCGTAGAAGTTAATTGTTTTGTTATTATGTTCTCCTTCGACAACTACCCTATTGTTTTGGCTTTTTCGACGATTATCACACTCTTTAGTGTGGAACCGGACACTATTGCATATTGCCCCATAGTACAATTTTATTGTCACATCAGGACCGTTTGTTAGTGACCATAATTCATCAGTTGCTTCATGTGACCCTTCCTCTCGTAACTGATTCATCTACGCACATGAATATGAAAGTTTTTATGGTTTTACAACTAATGCAAATAATGTTTATAATCTAAATTTGTATAGCTTACACGTTTTGCAAACCACTTGAAAAATTCTGCTTGGTGGCGACGAGTGATGTCACCATTTCTTTCCAACTCTAATATATTTTTGTGTTCCCTACGTATAAAACCATAAATTTGACATATAAAATATTTTAAACAATTACAAAGTACAATAAGAATGCTCACAACTATGTATATTTAACATACACATACTCTAGATACAGATCCAGTTCGAGACTATTATGTAGGACAAACCAATGAGCCATCTCTCGTTCCTATTGAGAGACCTCAATTGCTCTTGTAATTCGCCCAAAAGGGCGAATATTTTGAGTGAACACAGCTAACCCATGCACATTTTCAACTCGATCTGCATTTCGTTCCTTGCGATTAAAAACTGTTTCGATGCCAGTAAGATACATCGAGCAAAAAGGTAAGACATTCTTTAACAATATAGGCCTCTGCAATTGAACCTTCTGGATGAGCTCAATTACGAACATATCANATGATTTTTGGATCAAGATCAGTCCTATGAAGTTGACCTATTTCGTTATCTTCGACCACTATAGGAGCAACCTCTGTTGATTCATCCTGTTGGAATGCATCACTTGGAAGATACGATTTNCTGGATGAGCTCAATTACGAACATATCATTTTAAAGTTCCGAGATACCTTCAATAAATCACAAAACATATAAGGAGATAATAACAAAATCAAATGAAAAGCTAATAACAATTTAAAATATCACCTTTCCATTGGGTACATCCACCGATACTGCACTGGTCCAGCAATCTTAGCTTCCCTTGGCAAGTGAACTGCTAAATGCACCATAACATTGAAGAATGCTGGTACAAATATCTTTTCTAACTTACAAAGAATAAGTATTATGTTATCTTGTAGTGCATCCAAGTCTTTTACTATCAATGTCTTTGCACAAAGTTGTTGAAAAAAATTTTCCAGCTCAAATAAAGTGGTACAAATTTTCTTG